CCTTCTGCCAGTCTATGAAGCAAACACACAGTTCTTCATCTATCTCCAAAGTTCGTTCCGCTATAATTCTCATCATCCCAATTGCATCCCTGGTTCCTTTTCCTCTTCTAAATCCAAACTGATCTTCTCCAAGTACATCCTCTATTTTCCTTTCAATTCTTCTTTTAAGTATCTTTGCTATTATCTTTGCTGTATGTGCAATAAGACTTATTGTGCGATGGTCGCTGCATTTTGTAGCTTTTGTCTTTTTCTTTAAGGCAATCATTGTAACTTCTGTAAAGTCCTTGGGCCACTTTCCACTTTCATATATGGTGTTCATTAGTTTTGTCAGTGTTTTCAAACCACCTTCTCCCAGAACAGAACTACAGAACTATAATTTTGCCTGTGGTTCTGTATGGGTGTGAAACTTCGCATCTGGCATTAAGGGAGGAAAATAGACTGAGGGTGTTTGAGAACAGGGTGTTGAGGAGAATATTTTGACCGAAGAGAGATGAAGTGACAGGAGGTTGGAGAAAACTGCATAATGAGGAGCTTCATAACTTGTATTCTTCTCCAAGTATAATTAGAATGAGCAAGACAAAGAGGATGCGGTGGGCAGGGTATGTAGCACGAACAGAGAAGAAGAGGAATACATATAGGATATTGGAAGGAAAGCCAGGAGGAAAGAGACCACTGGGAAGACCAAAGCGTAGGTGGGTGAACAATATTAAAATGGATCTTAGAGAGAGAGGATTGGATGGTATGGATTGGATTGATCTGTCTCAGGATGGGGATTAGTGGAGGGCTCTTGTGAACACGGTAATGAACTTTCGTGTTCCGAAAAAGTGCTGGGAAATTATTGAGTAGCTGTACATTTGGCTGCTTCTCAAGAAGGGCTCAGCTCAATGAGTGAGTGATAAATCCCTGATAAATATTCCAGACAGGAATTGAAGGAAAACAACCTTCTGGAAGCAACATACTTCTTGAAGGAAGCTATTGACATAGAGTTTAGTTTCAAACGCACTGAAGGGTCGCTCTGTTATATTCTGGTATGTAGAAGGAGGGCTTCTCGTATGTACTGCACGATGTTGTATCCTCAGAGTCGACTGACCTTTCGGAGGAACATGTCGCCTCCATCTTCAGAGGTAAATATTAAGCCAAGCAAGAAACCAATACGAAACAAATATCAGGCCTGCTATCTGCTTCATGTTGGTTACTTGCTTGGCTTATTCTCCGACTCCGATGATGGAAGTGACGTCATCCTCTGATACGCCAGTTGACTTTCAACCATCTGCATGACAAAAGATAGAACTTTTCATAATCACGGTTGTGAGAACCTCTAATACTTAACGTTTTAGTACTAACTTATCAAAGGGAGTTTTCTTCTCAAAACTCGCTTGAGCGCATGCTCACAACACACACACGTGTCTCTTCAAATGAAGACCTTTATACCTAAACTTCTCTGTTTCATGCTCACACGAGGAATATGAACTGTTTTCTGTGCACACGCCAACATAATTTTGGTAATGTAGTTTCGAATTGCGCTAATCTGTAACTAATTTATGCCAGAAATATCGGTATTGAAAAAATCGAAAATTTCCCTAATCTATATTTCTGTATCTGACTAAAGATTTAATAGATACGTTTCTTGTACACATGTTCTTGAGGATAATTTTCTTTTATTTTATTGCGTCACGAGAACAGGTAGTACGGCCTCACCATACACTCGTCATTTCTTGCAACATCTGTCTAAGTGAGGATCATGTTTATTCTCTCAGTTGCTTCCCGCCGACATCTTCTGTGTATGAGATATACATTTTAAACACCTTATTGCCAATATGGGGGATTAATCAAGTGTTTTCTCGAGAGATGGGAAGGCATGTCCGACGGGGAGAAAGACAATCTTCCCGGGTTTTAAATTGCTTTTTCTATGATTCACTCTCCTTTGTGTGTGTGTTTTCAAAATTTTTGAAACGGGGTTAAAGTATTTGCTGGGCAGAAATAAGTTCGGGGGCTTGTAAATCGATATTTGTTTGGGTGTTACTTAATCATGACTCAGTTTTGTTGTCCATTACCCATAGAGACCCCCGTCTTCGGTTGACACACATTTCTCAGCATCTTCAACGTCTGCTTAACCTGATCCATTGACATCCCCTGAAATAACAGAATATTGCATTGCGTTCAATAAAATGTTATAACAGTTTCAATTAAAAGCGTTGCCAGGCAACAGCTCAGTAAATACACTCCAACAGGCAACAATAGATGAGGTTGTGTTTTCTATGTCTTCCGCGCCAAGCAAAAGTGGGAGAACGGAGTTATGCAACCCGTTTCTAAGCAACGGCTCGATAAACACACTTCCGCGTAAGCGATGACGTCAGCAACAATAGAGAAGGTGTTTTCTGTGGAGTCTGTGCAGAGTACTTATGAGGGAAGTGAATGCAGTGACAGAGTTACTTAAAGGAAAGTCAGAAATCAGTCGTAAGCTGGAGGAGTGAATCAAGAAGAATTTTTGGTTCCGAGGTTCCAGAGTGATTGAAAACGAAATAACAAGAAGATTTCATAGTGATTTCAAGTGCTAGTTTCCGTGTTGAGATTCGTTGCCAGGAAACGACTAGCGAAGATTGGAAATCTTAGGGCGTGTGCAGCGGTAATGGGAAACTGTGCAAATCAGCGATAGCGCTGTAGTTAAGTGTGATTAAGAGAACTTATAACCAAGGTGCTAATAGATCCTATCATCCGAACTAGAAACCAATATTTTCGTCCGCTTACGACCCTACATTTTATAACATGTTCCCTCGGTATACCCTGGTAAAAATTATATATCTTCTTGTTGTTGTTGTTTATTGGCTTTGTGACACATAAAATTTATAGCTCTGTCATGTGTAGTTGATGTCAGTTGTATGTCAGAAACAGATTCGTACCTGCTTTCCATTTACTTGCAGACCAGTGAGGGATGAAACGTTGGAGATTAAAGGAGGTCTATGCAATGTTGCTATTTTATTTTTAAGAGAACATACACTCTAAGCCAATATATCATGTAGAGTGGTAGAATTTTCGTCCAAAATCTTCATTAATTTTCAACAAATTTGTGATTTTCGAGGGAAATGTGGCGTTTATAGTGGATGATCTAACTTCATAACTAAAACAATTGCATATATATCAGTGAAGCACGCATCTGCTATGAGAATCTGGAACTGCCAGTAACATATCCTCTTACTTTGCAAAGAAAGCCGTTGACACACTGGGATGAGGAAGACAAACGCAGACAGAGTTTTCGTATATTCTTTGCACAAAATGCGGAAAATTAAACAAATTTCTTGATACAAATGCAATGTCTGCATACTGAGTCTCTGAATATATACACAGATTTCCAGAGAGTTTATTATTGGTTGTCTACGTTACAAGGTGTTGGTCACGTGAAATCCTCTTGATATTAGTCCAGCTTCCGGTGTAGGAAACCAAAAGTAACGGCCCTGGGGATTAATTGCGCTGACTACGCAACACTCTCTATCGGCTAAAGTTGGTACTAACTTCACCGACAAGCGGCGGTCGCTCGGTTGGTATAGTTCGCTTGCGGACTAAATCCACGGAGTTTGTTTCTTGTTTGTAGTAATCCAGCTAACTTTCGTATAGCACAAACAGAAGTTTATTGATTTTATGAAAAGAAGAATGTCATGTAAAATACCGGTAATCAAAGAAAATATAAGTAATTTAATATTATAAATCAGCATTTATGTAAGAATTTTTTCACTAGGTGAATTATTTAATAACATGAAAGAACAGTTGCTTCTGACACTTCTTGAAGCTTCCAGTATGTTCTTTGCAAGAGTTGATCTACGTTCGCAACAAGTCAATGTCGGTAACATCTGGGGAATACACGTATGTGTGCTCCAAAACCGAGTGCAGTGTGCACCCCTCTATTCTTCTTGTTTCCCAAGCAGCGAGAGGGAGACACGAGAAACTAAACTAACTTCATGGAGCTGAGCCCTTCTTGAGGAGCCGTCAATTGTGCAGCTATTCAGGAATTTCCCAGCATTTTATGGAACCAGAAGTTTCACTACCGTATTCACAAGAGCTATCCACTGATCCCTATTCTGAGCCAGATCAATCCAGTCCATAGCATCCCATCCTATCTCTCTAAAATCCATTCGAATATTATCCACCCCCACTTCATAGTGAGGCACGAGAAATATATAGAAAGTTGTAGTCAGAAACTTTGAAAAAAGAAATAATTTTGAAGGTCTAGGTTTTCGTATGAAGATAATATTAACGTCGATTTTAAAGAAATTCGATGTGGGTTATGGACTGGATTTTTTCGGCTCTGGACATTTGTGGATGTGACAATAAAGATTCCGTTTTTGAAAGGAAGAAAGGAAATGCTTACTCTGTGAACGACTATTAGCTTCTCAAGAAGGTCTCTGCTCCATGGAGTTAAGCACTCAGTTATTTCCAGTCCTGAAAACATCGACTTAAAATACCATCATACAGATGGCTTCTAGGAATATGTGTTGAGGGAATTCTATTAAAATATTATACAAAATTATTTGTGTCATACATCAGAAATGAATTCTATGTTATGGATTTTGCCAGGAAGTGTGCCTTCTTAACAAATTATTCTGTGAAAATATTTCCGTTAATATCGCAAGAGACAGCCATAGGGAACTCGGTATCCGCATCCTGCACACATATGCAGCCAACGCAGCAGCAGTAGTGATTACAGTAACTGAAATCCACAGGCCTTAGCTACGTCACCATAACGTACTCCATGCTTCCATATCAAAGAAGAATTCTGTCTTCTTTGTTGAAATGTGTCTGGTTCCGATACACGACATTAGGTTAATATATAAAAACATTAATTCTCGTATGAGTGACGAAACACAATGATAGAGTAGATTTGAAAGAATTCTGATGATGGTGTATGCTGTACAGAACTATAAGGCTTATTTTCGACTCTATCCATCGTCTGGTATATACAGGGCCCTTTAGAAAGAGCTAGTCTCAATCGCTCAATAACGTGCCCAACTGAGTAGGTCTATTTTGCCCCATCCACCTGAGGACGCAGACAGATTCAGCCTCCGAAACGTTGCGGTTTTTCGTCTTATATATACCAGACGATGGATAGAGTCCAAAATATACCCTATAGTTCTATACAATGATAGAGACATTTTTATTGCATTATAATTCGATATTATATATATATATATCCTTGTATTTTATAGGCGAATTTGAAATTGTAAAGAAGTATAATTTCTACATACGACGATTTTCAATATATTAAGCTTCATAACAAAGGTCTGGTTTGTGCAATATATATCGCACAAACCAGACCTTTGTTATGTTCTTTACAATTTCAAATTCGCCTATAAAATACAAGCAAATTTCTTTTTAATTAATATTGTAAAACTTAGATACTCTGTAATAAACGGTACGTGTCGAGTTCTGTTAGAGACGTCCTACATTAGGTAATTTTGATCTGAGCTTCATCTAATATAAGTAGGTATTATATTCAAATTATAAGCCATATTGAAATTTTGCCCCAAATTTATGGTTTAGATCTAAGATACCAAGATTTCTACATATACGTTAAACAGCTGTCAGATGTAACATTGGAAGACCATAATACCCTCACAATTCTGCTTTCATTTTGAACATGTCACACAAAGAATGCATAGATAATATCCCATGTATATAAAAGTTAACAGATACTTGGCATGTAAATGTTATTTTGGTAAATAACACACTCTTTTCTAAGGAGCCTGGATAGCGTTGTCGATATAGCGACTGGTTACGGGTTAGACGACCGAGGGTTCTGCGTTCGAGTCCAAGTAGGGTCAAGAATTTTTTTCTCCACGTCGTCCAGACCGGCTCAGGAACCCACCCAGCCTCCTATCCAATGGGTACCCGGGGGCTCTTTCCCCGGGGGTCAAGTGGCTGGATCTTGAAGCTGACTACTCACCTCCAGCTAGTGCCGAGATCAAGAAAACGTGGATCTATACATCCACTCCAGCATGAACCTTCATAAATTTGTGTTTAATCAGTTAGGTACAGGGACAATTTTGCCTTTGTCACATTCCCTTAATAGAGACCCAAACGAAACTCATGAATACGCCATGCCAGTTTAATGCCGAGTTAAAAAAAATTGTGTATATAATTGCCATATTTTCTCTTTTATCTTTAGTTTTTGGTTTGGGGTGAGACAGACCAATTGGTACGTCGTCCACTAATTTGCCTATAGTACCAGCCCCGGATGATAGATGACTGTGGAGCAGTCGGTGGAATGAGAATTGGCAAGGGAGACCGAAGTACTCGAAAAAAAAAACTGCCCCAGCGCTAGTTTGTCCACCATAAATTCCAATTGACCTGACCTGGGCTCGAACCCGGTGAAAAGCCGGCGTCTAACCACCTGAGCTATGGCACGGCGTCAGTTACTACATTATTTTCAATATTAATATTTCATCAAATATTATCTCTAGAGAGAGCAGCAGTACTTACAGCTGAGGTTTCATGGAGTGCGGTGGCCAGGACCAGCACAAAGACTGAAGAGATCGCAGGTAGGTTCATTTTGTATTGAAACGCGAGTGCATATGTCGATGCGACTTATATATACAGAGCGCCACGCATTGCTCGTTGGTTCCGATTAAACAAGGTCGCGTGATTCAAAAATTGAAACCCAGAGCGTAAACTTCCTGCCTTCTAGATGCAAATCTTCTTCTTCAGCGAGGCATTTCTTTATACCTCCCTTCCTCAGGAGCCTCCTGCGACGTTGTTCTTCAAGCTCGTAATTTGTTTCCTTATTTTCCCGGCAGTGGGCAGAACAGGTTGCGCCCCTTTTCGCACCAAACTTCACAGTAAATTTTTCGTGCGCGTCAGCATGTACGTCTATTAAAGTGGGCTGTGCTCCTTCTACCCCACCCTTCCATACTTTTGTCTGTCCATCTACACGCGTGTTTTTCCTCACCGAAAAAGACTTCTGGATGATATACGGCACTGGCATTACTATGTTGAACACTTACTCATGAAACTGAGCCTTCCTTGAGAAGCTGCCAATTGTGCAGCCACTCAAGAACTTCCCAACATTTTATGGAACCCGAAGGTTCATTACCGNTTCATCTCTCTTCGGTCCAAATATTCTCCTCAACACCCTGTTCTCAAACACCCTCAGTCTATGTTCCTTCCTTAATGTCGGAGGCCAAGTTTCACACCCATACAGAACCACAGTCAAAATTATAGTTTTGTATCGAATATGGAGATATAATGGAATAGAATTAAGTGGAGACTGGAGAAAAATTCATGTTGAGGAATTTATTATTATTTATATTTATTTATTTGCTCTCTAATCTTTCCAATAAAGACACTGTGTTATAAAATCATATTGTATACGAATTAATGATAATTTATTTTTATTCAAAATCATGAAATACAACGTTCTAAGAGGCAATAATTATTTTCTACAATTTAATTGAACACAACCCTAATACCAAAATTAATATGGTGTGTTTCGATTCATCCTCTTGGTCCACATTGTATTTTCGTCGAAGATAATTGCTTATAATAATCGTGTTTGGTGCAAGGTGCGTGGCAGGGTCAAAAACGCGCTTCTGCGCACATTTCTAAGCATCAATGGAGAATGAGTATCTCTCCGTTGACAACCTTCGAAGTCCGAAGACCCGTTCACGGGAAGAATAAAATCTAAAATCAAAAGAGCGTCATAAATGAAATGTTACTTCATGTAACTTACAGACACATGTACGTCACATACGTAAACACTTATAGAATTACATGTAGGCCTATGCATGGAATGTTAAGCAAGTGGGATATACGAAGACATGTTTTGCAATCCCCAGCATATCATAATCAGTTATATAATTTCACAATCAACTTTGTATGCATCAGCGACCCCTGAGTCGGATACGCCGAACCTACTGTTACTTTTTTCGTTTTTACAGAAATCGCCTTTTCTGAAGCACAAAATTCTCTGAGCAGATGGGGTGCGAAACTATCTGATTTGTCAGATCTGAGATTTTCACGGCGGTGACTATGAAGAAAGCAGTCTTCCGTGCTCCGTGTAGATATTATGTTAACCGACGTTTCGGAGGAATATGTCGCCTCCATCTTCAGAGTATAAGAAATCTGCAAGCGATGAACAGCGTGAGCAGGTGGCTGAAGGCCTCTGAAACATCGGTGAGCACAATATCTACACGGCGCCACATCCCAGAAGACGGAAATCTTTATTTTCTGATTATTTGTACATATTAAGAAAAAATATTGTTAGGTTTATCAAGGGTCACTGTGCATAAGAAATGTGATTATTGATGACCATGGCCGATGTTTTTTCTACCAATCGAACTGAAACCAGAACAGTGTGCAATTATAACACGTGCACTAATTTCCCTTTGCCTTGCACTTTGTGAAGGTCACTAAATGTTGAAAAAAAAAGGTAAGCTGTATTTCTCTGTAATAAAAAACTCCGTGACCTGTAGCCCTCAAGAGAACTATACCGACCGAGCGACTGCCGCTTGTCGGCGAAATTAGTGCCAAGTTTTGAAGATAGAAGGTGTCACGTGATCAGCGCAATGAATCCCCACAGTCGTTAATGTCGGTTTTCTAGACCGGAGCTGCTGTTTCCTTGAAATAGCTCCTCAATTATCATCACGAGGCTGAGTGGACCCCGCTCCAGGCCCAACTCACCTCAGAGAATCTGGTAGCGCCGGGAATCGAACCCGGACCTCTGGATCTGTAGCCAGGAATTCTGACCACTAGATCACTGAGGCGGTCACTTCTCTGCAGTAGTACTATATAATTTAAAGATTCTAGGAAGCATTTTCTAAGACGAAGCTGCGAGAATCAGAATGAAAAATGAGTATGACTCAAATGAGTTCGATACGGAGTTCAGAGTTGCCCTTTATACATGTTGCATACTTCAATTCACATTGTGAAATCTTGCACTTCATGTAGTTTCTGTGATACTCTACAATTTGTTTGGTGTTTTAGGTCTTGTTGTGTATAAGGTAATGTGAAGGAGGAACACATTTAATTGTGTTGTACTCTATAGTTAATTTATTGAAGTGTATATTGTTTGGCGTTTTATAATTTATTTCGTTTTGTGTAGTTGTTTTTTTTTTTCATTTCTCCCCAGAAATACAATTTAATGTCTGTGATAAACTGATGTTGTCCAGTTTGTTTCCTAGAGTATACTCTATTGAAGGTTTTGTGTGTGTTTTGTGGTGTTACAGAATCTGTTATTTTATATATTTTTAGGTGTTGTACGCATTGTATGGTATTTTGTTTCGTAGTTTGTTTGTTTTGTGGCGTCCTTGTCTAGTTTCTTTGGTTTGTAAAATTTTTTTTTAATTTGTACATTGGGGGAGGGGGACCAGCTGGGTCCACTCGGCATGTCGGCGACTGATTGGCCTATTGTACTTGCCCCGGGTGATTATGATGATGCACAATTTGGTGGAATGAAGATTGGCAGGGGAAACCGAAGTACTCGGAGAAAACCCGCCCCAGCGCCACTTTGTCCACCACAAATCCCACTTGACNAACCTGCCCCAGCGCCACTTTGTCCACCACAAATTCCACTTGACCAGACACGAGATCGAACACGGACCGCTGCGGTGAGAAACCAACGAATAATCGCTGGAGCTATGGCGCGGCCCTGCTCTGTAAAATTGGTTTGATATAAACTTCGTTTGCTGCTGTAAATTTTGTTCGGTGTTTTGTACTTTCTCTCATTAAGGACCTGAAGATTTTTGATGCTGTATAATCTGTCGATGCTATGTGATTGATTTTGTGCTGTAAAACGTAAAAGTAACAGTCATAAATCCAGGTGTAGCTGAGCCTATGGGGTGCTAAGAGAAGGTGATGCTTTCAAATGCTGATCCATTGCTGATTAGATTAACATACCTCAGAGTCAGCGTCGTGTATGCATTTTGTTGCCGTGAAGGCAACCTCGCAGGGATCTGTCAACCCTGAAACGAAATTAACACGTTTCTCGTTACGGGAAATTAATTATGCATTTTAGTGTTTTTGTTGTCCCATATTCATATCAACAATAAAATCATCTGTGCTCGAAATTTTAATCCTTTTAGTATTGATATTTACTGACAGAGGGCTTCAATAAATAGAAGCAACTATGGGGAAGGCTAAAGAAAATATCCTATCTGCCCGAAAAGTTTTATTTAATTAAGTGTGTAAACGTGTTACATTTTAACTGGATAACGCAGTCAGTGTAGCGACTGTCTACGGGCTGGACGACTGAGGGGTCGGAGTTCGAGTCCGATTAGGGACGAGACTTTTCTTCCTTCCGCGTCGTCCAGACAGGCTGTGGCGTCCACCCAGCCTCCTATCCAATGGCTACCGGGAACATAACGGCCACGGCCTGTAGCTGACCACTTACCTCCTACCAGTGCCTAAGTCAAGAATAAGTGGAAGTATACATCTATTTCCCCCATACGTCTTCACGGCATATTGCATAATTACTAGTAGCTAAACATGGGGACAGATTTACCTTATATGTAATATTCCTTATAGAGTTGATGAGTATGTAAATAATAAAATAATCCAATGTGAGGCCTGACGTTCTCAGGACTGTGAGCGTGAATGTTTCTGTCTTCAGGAATGTGATACTGTGTGATGTGTTAAAAAGCAACGGAAATTTCGGAGGAATCTTATGTCTTATTCTTGAGCTAGAATATTTCGAATTTGAGAAATGTATGAGGAAAAGAAAGTAACAAAATATATAAAGCCGATATTCTATAAAGTAGTATGTCTTAGCATTTCCCACGCTATGTGTGGAAATAAAACTTGGAATAGAAAGAGCAAGCAAATAATATATTAAACAAAATAGGCACCGGAAATAAGTTGTTTGAGAATATGTATATGATGTACAAGAAAGGTGGAGCAGGGTCTAAACCATACCGAAAGAGCATGTGCACAGAAGCATCTGAACCACAGTGTTAACCAGTGTTCGTTGCTAAATTCCTGTCTCTAGGCTAGGACCGTGTTCCAGTTCTCTGAGCCAGTGTGCTGACCCTTATACCTACCGTCATCCGCGCTGCTGCACTTTTGTATGGCAGCTATGACCCTATCCTTGATGTCTGCACTCAGCTTCTCAGCCATAGAAAGAGCAATGTCTGTCCTCAGCTTTCCGTCCCTCATCTGCAAGAGAGGGCAACAGATACTCGTAATGTGACTGCCTGTTGCTCTTCTGTGTGTTCATTTGAATAAGACAGAAGTATTTCTTACCTTCGCACTGAATCTGTGTTTATGTATATATGTATGTTTTTGGCTACAACCATGGGGTAGATCACTACTTCAGAAAATGATACTTGCTCAGCCGGTCAAGAAATTTCAATCTTTCAATGAACACGAAAACCCATGCCATGTTTAAAAGAGTATGCCATTTTTTTTTTCATAATCTAAACCAAAAACAACTGGAGAATGTGAAATGTTTTAAATATTTGGGTAGCTTGTTAACATATGCTGGAAAGTGTACTAGTGAAATTAAATCCAGGATTGCCATGGCAAAAGCTGCATTTAGCAAGAAGAAGAATCTTTTTACCAGCAAATTGGACTTAAATTTGAGGAAGAAACTAGTGAAATGCTACATTTGGAGCATAGCTCTGTATGGGGCTGAAACATGGACACTTAGGGCAGTAGATCAGAAACATCTGGAAAGTTTTGAAATGTGGTGTTGGAGAAGGATGGAGAAGATCAGTTGGACCGATTATGTGAGAAACGAAGAAGTGTTAATTAGAGTCAGTGAGCAGAGGAATATCCCACACGAAATGAGAAAACGGAAGGCTAATTGGATTGGTCATGTTTTACGCAGAACCTGCCTTCTAAAAGAAGTCATTGAAGGAAAGATAGAGGGGCGGATAGAAGTGACAAGAAGACGTAAGAAGATGCTGGATAACCTTGAGGACAGAAGAGGATACTGTCATTTGAAGGAGAAAGCTCTAGATCGCATTAAGTGGAGGAATTGTTTTGGAAGAGACTGTGGACCTGTCTTCTTGACAGATTACTGATGATGATGAATCTAGTGCAGACCCTCATATTCTTTTCCTTTAAAGTCCGTTTTAATACAGTGCGTTCAGTTAAGGAGGAAACTTCGCAACACCGCTGACCCGGCCCAACATTCCTCACAGATTGCTGCTGTAACTTCTGATAGGAGAATTAGTCAATAGCGCTGATAAACGCGCCCGGTTATAGCTAAACTTACAGTAGCAATTTGTGAGAAATATTGGGCTCGATCAGCGGTGTTGCGAAGTTTCGTCCTTGAATGAGCGCCCTGTATTACAGTACAACATTCCATTACGTCTCCCAAGTGATTCCTCCCCGGCAGGTTTTCGGCCTAAAAGCCTGAATGTATTTCTCATTTTTGTGTGCCCTGAAAACCTCTTTGTCCTTCATTTGGTCACAAAAATTTTATTCGTTATAGTGCACCAGTTATGTAATTGTATTTATCCAGCTCTCTTTTACATGACCAATTTGCTGTTTACTGCAAGAAATGTCACCCTTACCGACATTTACAGAGGATACATTAGAATAAATTCATAATATTTACGTAAATTTGAAGATTTTGAGGCATGTAGAACGAGACTAAATTGTACAGAGAATAGGTGAAAGCAGGAGGTACCAAAGATAGTAGAGAATTATCATCTTAGAGCAAGAAGGGTTAAAAGAAGGCTAAGAAGGTGCTTGGAAGAGAATTTTGAGGCCGATACAAGGATCCATATGCCTGGTAACCCAAGGAAAGGTTTGCTAAGAAGTGTGTAGTGATTCATATCTTACCGTTAAGGTCATGGTCATTGCACATTTCATGTAGCACTGAAAAAAAAAGAAGCAATTTTTAAGTGAGCTATTCAGTTCAACAAGTCCAAATGAAGAGTTAACAATTCTACTAATATACACCGTGTACCAAAATGGCTGAAGAAACTGAACCAAGTGAAGACGATAGAGCTTCATTTCCACTCTCTCTCGCAACACCCCCCCACACAGTCTTAGTCGGCACCTCCAATTCACGACTGGCATGGAGCAGAGATTTCTTCGGACTGTGAAGAAAAGACTCGTTCCACACTTTCTTCTGACCCACACGGACGTTCTGCACTTTTCCCTGTACATAGGCACCCCGTTGTCTGAAGCTCTTGATACCAGCGCCTAATTCTGTTGGTAGATGGGGGGTCACTCTGAAACTGTCGCTGGAAGGCCCGCTGGACAGAAAGAACTGATTCATTCTTCTCAAACTGCAGCACACAGAACGCTTTCTGCTACGGAGTCGCCATTTTCTCTTTGTAACGTCACGAACAGTGAGAGAGAAGGGGGGGCAGTGGGTATGCGCATGCGATCAAAACTTGAGTACCTGCTGTTTCGTTCCATGTAGGAAACATAATTGTGAGTGTATTTCCAAAGCGGTTGTGGCCGCTTGAAACCGCTCCAGTCATTTTGGTACACGTTCTGTAATTACACGCATATATATGTATATAAAATATTCCTTAAGTCAAGACTTCTCTCTTCTCACCTTCAAATTTCTGTCGTCTGGAAACTTTCCTTCAGGAACTCCTTCAATGGCCTCTGAAACGTAAGAATTGCGTCGTACTTAATTTGAAATATGCTCCCTGCTATACTGAAAACAATATTATGCAATATTAATATTAATATTAATATTAATATGCAATATTAATACAATATTATGCAATACATCTTATCACTGACTTCCCGTGACGGTGGCCCGTGTTCGATCCTAGGATAAGTCATCTGGGATTTTTGGTGGACAATTTGGAACTGCATTAGGATTTGCTCTGAGTACTTTAGTTTCTCCTGCCAGTTCTCAAACCACCAACTGCTCCTACCCATTAATCATCCTGTCTTCGACTCTATATAGTCTCGAGACTTACAGTATTTAAAAAATGTGAACTGAACTTAAAATGTACCTCATAACCGCAGGAGAACCGTGCTGCAGATTCCAGAGATTCGTTTTATTGTGTATTTTGCATGTTACTTACTTCAGACTACAAACTTCATAAAGCAATAACACAGATTTTTTTGTATTTGTTCAAGAAATACCAGATGAAGTGACAGGAGGTTGGAGAAAACTGCACAATGAGGATCTTCATAACTTGTACTCTTCTCCAAGTATAATTAGAATGATCAAGTCAAAGATAATGAGGTGGGCAGGGCATGTAGCACGAAAGGAGGAGACGAGGAATGCATATAGGATATTGGTGGGGAAGCCAGGAGGAAAGAGACCGCTGGGAAGACCAAGGCGTAGGTGGGTGGACAATATTAAAATGGATCTTAGAGAGATAGGATGGGATGGTATGGATTGGATTGATCTGACTGAGAATAGGGACCGGTGGAGGGCTCTTGTGAACACGGTAATTAACCTTCGGGTTCCATAAAATGCTGGGAAATTCTTGAGTTGTTGCAGAATTGGCGACTCTTCAAGAAGGGCTCAGCTCCATGAGTAGGTAAGTAAGTTCAAGAAATACCAGATGTGCTGGAGCTGCCCACTCTGTTCAAGCTTCTGGTCTTTCATCGACTGCCACAGCAGCTCAAAGAGGAGGACCCAAATCTGGATCATAAAGAAGCTCTTGAAGCACAGCCATTGCTACAGACTGCGGATCTCGACAGCGAAATTGCATCAGTTATAGCTGTGTCCGTGCTGCTATTTCCAGAACAGACTTCTGATATCTGCAGAAATGCGCAACCGTCGAAACAGCTTTAATTGCTTCAAGAGCAGGTTCCTTTCTCGCTGCATAGTATCATCAAGGGATTTCAGAATTGCAAACATCCCCAGACCCGGGAAACTTCGTGACATATATACATCCTCTTACACATCTGACTCTTTGCATTGTCATCACGGATAAGAATGAAAATAACTGAATTTTGACAACAGATGTCTCATACATGCATCATGCGGTCTACAAGAATTTACCATTTCTTTCCAAAGGCAACAGTGAAAGGAATTCTGCACTATATTGTCTGCTCTTCATGAAACTTGTCATGATTGCGCCTGCCATCTCTGTTTCGTATTCGTGTATTAAAATATTAGATGTTGGCGAGGTGAATTTGACGGTTCAGAATCCTTATACATTCCTGATATTTCCTATCATTTCTGTTGGATGAGTCTGCAGCTGTAATGAGTGTATTCTTCAGAACATTCGAAATTCAACATGACAATGACACATTTTTGTGAATCGAAAATGCACAGCCACATTGGAAATTACTGTAATTCAACTCGAAATTATGCATGATGTTATGTGGTCTAGGTTCCTGGCTACAGATCCAGAGATCCGGGTTCAATTCCCGGTACTACTAGATTTTTTCGAAGGAGTAGTGGGTCTGGAACGGGGTCCACTCAGCCTCGTGATTATAATTGAGGAGCTATTTCAAGGAAATAGCGGCTACGGTCTAGAAAACCGAAATTAACGGCCGTGGGGATTCGTTGCGCTGACCATGCGACACCCTCTACCCTCAAAAGTTGGCACTAACTTCGCTGACAAGCGGCGGTCGCTCGGTCGGTATAGTTCGCTTGCGGACTGAAGTCATGGAATTTGTTTGTTATGTTATAAAAACATTTGAGGCTAATAGTGCTCATATTGCGGTCTTTTCTGATGATCTCGTTTGTGGTCAGTGACATTCTGAAGGACTTTGCTGTCTACGTCTCTAGTCTCCTTTAAGTATAATCTGAGAATTCGGTTACGAACCTATGAACGTACACATTATCGTAACACTGAAGACTACGGTCTGAAACATCTACTTTTAGTTCGAGAGGCAGTAGCATTCCAACTGAAATATTTGGAAATACTAAAATTCATATTGGCAAAATCCAGTGTCGTTCATGGAGGTAGGCCTAGGCACACTGGGACTGTAGTACCAAGGAAAAAAAGAAATCCAGTGTCTGGACGTCACTTGTGGATTTCAGAGCAGTGTTAATCATTATGTCGGTTATAATAATATTAAATTTCCTCATAACTATATGAAGCACAAAACTTCCTGAAGAGTTTATAGTTGCTCACCCTGTCATAATATTCCCTACCTTGCATTGAAACCGAATGCGCATTAAAAGTAAAGTAAAGATATCCCTTAACAGGCCGTGAAGGTCCATGGGGTTGTGAGATGTTGAGGGTCCCACATTTTCTAAACAATCGACTCATAGGTGGTGGAAAGTTGTTCAGCCCTACGCACCGGCCGCCCTTTACCCTCAAGAACATTCCAAGAATATTCCTGGTACTCACATCTGTTAGAGGCTGAGTCGACCCCAGGGCCTTAATGCGGCTGGAAGGATTAGGTAAATTGAAAAAATCCAATGACCTCATCGGGATTCGATCCTGCGACATTCCGGCTTGTAACATAGTGCCTCAACCAACTACGCTACTGCGTATTAATACATTCAAAATTGTCCACCCCTTGTCCATACTCGTACTGAAATTCTGGGTCACTATCAATAAATATGAAGAGATACAATGAGGTTTTAAATATTAATTTTCTTCTCCAAAATAATATTATGTTCGTGTGACGGGTCACATTGGAATATGCATGTTGCCCTCGTTAGAAAAATCCTTCTCGATGTGTGAATATTTCTTGAACTGCACTCATATTGAGTGAGGCGAAAGCGCTAGGCTTCCCTTGCCTGCTGCACTTGACACTTCAACTTTCCTACTTTCCTGCAGTGCCTGGAAATATACTCGTCCTCTTCAAACTATCACTTAGTCTCGAACTATTATACTCTTAGACAGATTAATTTAGACACTACGGGCGTAAACTTGATTTTTAGTGTCTAAAGCGTGAATTTGAGAAGTGAATTAAGTTATTAAATAACTGTCATGAGCTAGTATAATCCAATCGTTATCAGAGCTACTTGTTCCTTCAGAGTCTGTTTGAATAAGTAACATATAGCAGAAATTGAACTGCATGAAAACGTTATGGATAATACGGAATAAGGCTCTAGAAAATTTACTGGTATTTTGCTATAGAGGGCTACATTATTATTATTATTATTATTATTGTTGTTGGAGGGGTGGGTTTCCCCATGCACCGCGACCAGTTGTTGATCTATTGTACGTCTCCCTATGATATTCTACCGGTCTCCATACCTTACCGGTACTGGTGCGTGATATCAGCCCCGTTGAGCCAACGAGGTTGGCCCTCGGTACCTTGATAATTCCTCCATCTACCAGAGGCACTGGAAACTATTTGGGCTGGAAATTAGAGGGCTACATAATCTAAGAAAAATAAACAATAATTCTCTACGAACGTTGAAAATAATATGGATTCGGTTTCTTATTTAAAGTAGTTTTATCCCTGTGCAAGGCTACCTGTGGAGACGCCGGTTTCTGGTTGGCATTTGCTTCTAACCAACTTTGAGGTTAATTCCTGCCGTGCCATTATTATTACCTGCAAGAGAAATAAGTAGTTAACGTATGAAAATCAGACATATCTGAAAGGCTGTGGAACTGCACTTCTCACCGCAAATGAGGAACACAGATTGAGGAGAATATCTGAGAATAAAAGGTAGAGAGTGGGACCTGAGAAGAGCAAGAAGGAAATTACATTAATGAGGAAACCCACAGTCTATACCCTTTTTCATTATTATTAGGATGAACAAGTCAAGGAGGTTGCAATGTGCCTGGCATTGGAAATATAAAAATGCATACAAAATACCAGTTCACAAACCTGAAAATTTGGTAGTCCTAGATACAGACTGGGAGGTAATATTGAAATGGATCTTAAGGAAATAATGTGTGAGAGTTTAGATTGAATTCATCTGCTTCAGAATAGGATATATTTTAGGGCTGTTGTGAGTACAGTAATGAAACTCATGATGCTGTAAAACACACAGAACATATTATTGTAGCGTGTAGATCCGTTGCTGGATAAAGGTATCGAAACAACGCCCGTTGCTGAGGCAGCAAATTCTTAATAAGTGGTTTTAGTAACCCCTTGCTGGGTGGCGCGAACACTTTCCAGCGGAAAACTAAGGACAAGACTTACAGAAGTAATGTTCTACTTACAGAAGATGTCTGCCGCAGGGCGACAGAAAGGATTATGGCGATGGGAAGCAGACCCATTGCGTCTCTGTTGCCCGCTGCAGTCACTGAGGCCTCAGCAACAAACCTTCACAACTTTATACCGAAAATTTCAATGCTCATTGGTTCCAAGCAAGCGAGGTTTATTATCTCTCTGTCGTCTTCACATGGAAAACGAATGGAATGCTCCCTCCACACAGTTCTGTAATTGGAGCTTAAGTACGTCGTCTCACCATCTCAATTAGAAACTTCCGATGTTTAAATGGCATGGCCAAATTATAAAGCTTCCTTGAGAGTTTCAAAACCTGTTATTTTTGTAAAGAATGGAAACCCAAACATTTTAAACCGACGTTGACAAATTATATTGTTAAGGGCAGAAAGTATTAATTAATATAATGAAGGTGTCTAACTCCACAGCACAGATATTTTCTTAAGTAATTCTAGGTATTTTTCAGATAAGTAAATCTCTTTCTCTTCAACAACTACAAGCTTCATGTAACTTGATATATTAAAATACGTAGATCCAGTAAGGATCTGACGTGAAGTGCAGTATTATTCTCCACTCTGAAGGGAAGGGTCCAATTGGAAGACCTAGAAACAGGCGGTAGGAAACCATCAAAAGGGATCTTCCATAACCAGTATGTGAGGGTGTGGGCTAGATTCGTCTGGCTCTGAATAAGGAAAAATGATGGGATTTTGTGAAGCAGTACTGAACATTTGAGATCCATAAAATGTGCCGTAATTTCTTGACTATTTGGATGACTAATAACTTCTCACGAAAGACCGTGCTCCTTGGAGTTAGTCTTAATTTCCTTCACCAAAATGGTATATTTCTCAGTCGTAATTTTACACCAATTTATTGTTTCCCGCAAGGTCGCCGGATGTCCCACTCATTCTAGTACTATAATCATCCAGCAGTGGCAATTGATATCAGTAGGCTTTCAAGTTCTTCCTTGGGTAATTTTCCTCATTTTCCTGTTACAACCCCTCTCTTAGGTCCTAATATTCTCCTCTGCATTTTCTTTATTATATTTCTTCATATAAAACGATATATTTCAGAGTACTTATGTGAAATTTATTTCTTCAATTCGAAACGGATTATTTCTGAAAAAAATGCACAGACATAGGAACTTACTGTGACTCATAGACCCATTGCTAGGCAATGCCCGCAACACACACGCAGCCAATAATAGAGGAACAGTGTTTTCTCTGTTCCGCGCACAGACCGTTGCTAGGCAACGCACGCTAAGCACATTCTCGCTTAAGCGCTGACGTCACACAACAGTGGAGAGTCTGTGTTTTCTGCTGTTGTCCGTGCCGGATGTTTATAAGGGACAAAAGAACGTGTGTTTTCTATGTAGTCTGCACCATGTCCAGTGCTGCCGGGCCGTCGCGGTGGGAAGCCAGCGACTAACCGCTTGAGCTATGGCGTGGCCTTAGGTAGGTAGATTAGATAGACAGAGAGACAGATAGTAAATTCTTTATTTTATAAGGTAAAACATTTAACTAATTACATAGCTAAGTCATACAACAGAGCCCTCCAGTGAAGGGTAAAGGAAGTCCTTGCCGTTTATGAAACCCAGAAGAATCAGCAGGACCACCGTGTTCACAAGATACTGTCATTGATCTCCAGCCAGAGCCATCTAAAGCACGTCATGTGAAGCTCTGCTTGCTGCCTACACCCTTTTGGTTTCTTGTTTGGTTCATTCTTCGACCCGCAAGATGGAGGTCTGTTAACTTTCAGAGGACTATATGTCATTACATCCCAGAAGCTAGGATTCCCTAAGAGATATGCTGTCCGTTCAGTACTGTTTACAAAGGTCGACGCTTCAAACAAATGGAACTTGTAGGGTAACTACAGATTCTCTGCTCGATGCCTATGAAGACGCTTTCAGTACTGGGAATATGCAGCGTCGATACTGTCTAACGAATGCTACAATTTTGCAAAAACGGTTTGTGTTTTACGGGGAAAAGTATTTAGAGGGGAATAAAAATTATTTCATGCATGAATTTAAAACAATTTATTTTCATCCAAGCCAAGCTGCTCTCTTCCGTCGGTGATCTCAAGGTCCATTCATGGGAAAAAGAAAACCTGAAACAGAAAGCGTCATTTCCGGTCACGTGAGGTCAACGACTGCGCGAGAAAGTGGCCACGATTATACAAGGAACAGAATCATATTTTAGACATTACAGTAAATTCTGTAAACTATTTTTGCTTAAATATTATGTAGATGAACAGAATTTAAATGATATTAATTAAATAAATTATGTCGCTTTACACAGTCTCTTCTCTGGTATGCAGACTTGTTGGAAATATAATACCTTACTTGAAATATGTCTAGCATAACCACGGAACGTCTCCCCATCGCCATATACATAAGATGGCTGGCAAAAACTTGGAAATTATAATCATTCCCTCATTGGACACTATAATCAGAGCTACTGACTGCGTCATTTAGGAACCCGTAAATAAATACATAATTTTGCTTACTTCTTTATCAGCCTCATACACACACTTGGTGGCAATGAACGCCAGTTCGCAGCCCTCCACGCCGTCATACTCTGTAAGCGGAAGTCATTTTCTTTTAAAAGTTTCAAGACACTGCAGACTGCATGAACACGATACTTGATACTTAAGAAAGAAGTGACCGAAAGCATAAACGAGCTCGAAATTAAACACACAGTTACACACAAACTATCTGATAAACATTCATATTTTGAACTGTAAAACTGTATAATATGTAGACCAACAGATTTTCTGCCAAAAAAAAAACAGAAAAATATCATTAAATATTGTTAAGATGTTTAATAGCTTGACATTTTTTTCTGTGGCGCTACAGCCCCAATTTGGGCCTAGGCCTACCTCCATGAAACTCTCCGTTTCACTTCGGGTTACTAGATCTTACACATTCGGCAGGACTCCTTGGGCGAGTGATCAGCTCGTCGCAAGGCCTCTACCTGTAGACAAACACAGAAAAACGCACACAAACATCCATGCCCTGAGTGGGATTCGAACCCACGATCCCGGCTTCCGAGCGAGCGAAGACAATGCATGCCTTAGACCGCTCGGCTACCGTGACCGGCCGTGTATAAGAATAATATATAAGAATTCAGTTCGTACCTCACAGGAAACATCCGAACCCACGGTCTCGGCTTCCGAGCGAGCGAAAACAGTGCATGCCTTAGACCGCTAAGCTACCGTGACCGGTATGGCTTGACATTACTGATCTTAATTTCTAAATTCATCGACAAATTCGAATGATATGGAAGAAAATCAGTTGAATGTCTCTGCTGCAGAAATAATTGAAACATTGAAGATAGAAAAGTACTTCCCGTCACTTACTTCACTTGCTGAAATATCTGTTGTAAGTAACGGTGAAATATTTGTATGTTTGCCTGTGTGTATCTGTGAGTGTGTTTGTGTTTCTGTGTGTGTGTGTGTGTGTGTGTGTGTGTGTGTGTGTNACCATAAGCCGGAAGGTCGCCGTTTCGAGCCCTGATGCGGTGGATATTTCAATTTACCTAATCCTTCCTGCCCCACTATGGTCCTGAGGTCGACTGAGCCTCTAACAGAAATGAGTACGAGGAATCTTCCTGGCGGGTCAAAGACAGCCGGCGCGTAAGATTGACAAACTTATTGCCATCTGTGAGCCGATTTTCTGGAAGATGTGAGAATCTCAACCTCTCAAAAACCCATGGGCCTCCACGGCCTGTTACAGGGGTAACTTTACTTTTTTACCTTTACTTTTTCCGTGATTCCGACCAGGAATTCCCCGAATACAAACCACAGCAGCGCCACAAAGTCTAGTCATATAATCAATATCAACTTTCTGCTATAATGTTCTCGGCATTCATTCATTCGTTAATTACTGATCATTTAATTACTTGTAAAGTAAAGTAATGTACGGTGAAGCTGCCTTAAACACAGACACACCCATAGAAATAGACTTAGATAATGACGGACGGAGGGAGACAGACGGACAGGCGGATGGACGAACGGACAGATAAACAGGCAGATGGCTGGATGAACAGATAATTAATTGGTTAGTTGATTGGTTGGTTGGTTGGTTGGTTGGTTGGTTGGTTCGTCCGTTGGTTCGTTGGTTGGTTACATTTCCAGACTTACCGCCTGCATCATTCCCATTGCGCATTTCAGGTAACACTGGAAATAAGAAACAAACGTATTGATATTACAAATAAGAACAATTCAATATTGTATTTCAGCATCCTGTTGCACTCTATACGATAAATGATACACACTCCGTCCCAAGTGCAAACAATATATATTATATGTCTTTGATCTTGTTCTTTTTTACACTACATGTTTCGGCCTCTATCGGCCATCATCAGGTGTATACTTTTAACGTTGCTGCCACACTGAAACCCAGTTTAAAATTTAACATTTAAAAACACATTGTTATTTTTGTCGTATTATCAACATCTACCTCGTTGATATGTGTCTGGTATGTAGATTATATTGCACACGTCAAATTTTCCTGTAGTAGCACTATAAAATCTTTAGTTATGATTTTAAAA